ATCCTTAAAATATGATGCATTCAGAAAGTTATGACATCAATTGACACCAGAAGTTCAAATTATGAGTCCAAGGACTGACTTGTGTGATACTTGTCAACATTTTAGAGATGGTTTACATTATAATGCTCGCCAAGAGGAAGAAGCCAAAGATTTACTTAAAAGATTTAAAGAGCATCTGTTCAAGGCCAAAGTAGAAAGAAATTATTATAATAAAAATACCAAATTAGCAGAAGAGCAAAGAAAACTAGTTGATCAAAATTATTCCTAAGGTAAAACATAATATTGTAGCATTGATGCCACTGCTCATTATAGTTATGATTGAGCTCAAAATGTTCATGTATCACATTCAGATCAACAGGTAAATAGAATTTATTACTGTAAACTAATATAATTCTAAATTAAACCATAAACTGGTAAAAATCTGAACTGAACTGAAAATTTTGAATTTCAAAAGAAATCCTAATTTGTAATTCTCTTAAGAGTTTTGCAATTACTTTGCGATTTTCTTAAGAGTTTTGCAATTATTTAACGATTCTCTTGAAATTTTGCAAGTAATTTGCAATTCTCTTAAGAGGTTTACAATTACTTTGTAATTTTCTTGGAGTTTCATAAGTAATTTACGATTCTCTTAGAGTTTTGCAAGTAATTTATAATTCTCTTAAGAATTTTGTAATTATTTTACAATTTTTTTAAGAGTTTCGCAATTACTTTGCGATTCTTTGTGATTTTCTTGGAGTTTTACAAATAATTTGCAATTCTCTTAGAGTTTCGCAAGCAATTTGTAATTCTTTTAGAATTTCACAAGTATTTCACAATTTTTCAATTCTTAGAGTTTCACAATTTTTTTTTTTTACAATTCTTTTAGAATTCTCTTTTTTTTAATTACTTATTCTTTATGAATCCATTATTTTAGTAAAATTTATTTTATTATGATAATTTAAAATTAAAAATCATATACATTATTTAATATTTATAATAAATAACCTTTATAAGATATAATAATAAAATTAATAAAACTATAATATTATTTTTCATCATCTTTTTTCCATCAACTTTTTAAACACATATAAATTTTAATAGTTCTGATTTTAAGCTGTACCTTCTATGTGAAATTAAATCTGTTCTATCAAAAAATACTTTTTCAATTAGAATACTTATACTTATTTATTATAATAAGATATTAAATTTAAAATAATTTTTATGTTTAAGTATTAATTTATAATAATAAATCAGGAATTGCTAAATAATTTGTTATCATTTTTGATAAATTTGAAAATTCTGCTTTATATGACTATAAATTAAATTAAAAATTAAATTGATTCATTATATAATTAAATAATAATATCATATAACTTTAAATTTTACCTTCTATAATATTAAAACATTAGTATTAAGAATTGATGTATTGTTTAAATATGTATCTAATTTATCACTTTTAACTAGTTTTCTTTTTTAAATATATATGTTATTAATGCATTCAAATTTGAACTAATAGATTAATTATCACTTTCATTGGAATTTTGAATATATTCATCATTCTAGAGTTTAGATCTATTATCTGTATTTTACAGATATTCAATACTATCTATAGATTTGAATTCGTCAAATCCAGATAGTGATCTATTCAAATAAATATTTAGATATCTAGATATTATTCATATATTCGCATTATCTAATAGATATCTAGATATCTGCTGAATATCTGATGTTATATATTTATTTTTTATTTTTGGACTAAGGTTCAGTGATCAAATTTAATAAAGAATAAATGTAAATAGTAAAGATCACAACTTTGTTATAATATCCTACCTAACAATGCCAACTGATATCTGATGTTACTTATTTTTAACTAATTAAGATTATTATTTTAATTTATTAAAGTAATAAAATAAACAAATAATACAAAAAAAATCTGTTATTATTATAATAGCTAACAAATATTTTTTGTAATTTTTTGCATGATAAAAATTACAAATCACATGACACATAAGTTGATCGTATAACGGTTGACAGATAATAATAGATTATCGATTTTTCATTTTTGATACAATTGTATTACTATTCTGAAGTTTTTTTTATAAAAATGTTACTAACTATAACTTTTAATACACGTGTTCTTCTCATATCTTTACATTACTATAATATAGTTCAGATATGGAAAAAAGGAAGGTTAAAACTAAAAAGAATAAAATTATTCTAGAACTACTAAAATGACTAATATAACAGAAGAAGTAGATAGGATAGAAAATGATTTGTAAGACTTAACTTTGATAATACTATTCAAAAAAAATATGCTAAATGAGCAAATCTTAAATAAATCACAAATTCAAACTAATGGTAGTATAGAATTAGATGAAAATGTGAATAGTATAGATCCTAATGATACAAATATTACAGAACTAAATAATGTAAAAGATATTACACAAAAAAATAATATAACTCAATTAACTAATAATTGGCATAGTTTTATTTGGAATTACTTAGAAAAACTATTTCTAATAGAAAATATAAGAAATGTATCAGATGTCTTATACCAATTATAGGTCCTGATGGCAATCAACCATGTGGTCATATAATGAGTATAGATGGTAATACCAGTAATTTTATTTATCATTTAACAAAACATAATATAATACATGATACTGTTGAGATATCACAAAATATTAAAAATCATAAGCTTCAATATAAGATGGTTAATAATAATCCTATTAAAAAGGATCGATTAGATAAAAAATATGTTAAAATTATCATAAA